TTGAGTGATTGAGTGATTGAGTGATTTGAGTGATTGAGTGATTGGAGTGATTGAGTGAGGTGAGTGAGTGAGTGAGAGAGTGAGAGAGTGAGAGAGTGAGAGAGTGAGAGAGTGAGAGAGTGAGAGATGTGAGTGAGTGAGTGAGGAGAGTGGAGGAGAGAGAGTGGAGTGAGAGAGTGAAGTGAGAGGAGTGAGAAGAGCTGAGTGAGAGAAGTGAGTGAGGCCAGTGAGTGAGAGAGTGAGTGAGAGAGTGAGAGAGTGAGAGAGTGAAGAGAGTTGAGTGAGTCGAGTGAGTGAGTGAGTGAGTGAGTGAGAGAGTGAGAGAGTGAGAGAGTGAGTGAGTGAGTGAGTGAGTGAGAGAGTGAGGAAGAGTGAGAGAGTGAGAGAGTGAGAGAGTGAGAGAGTGAGAGAGTGAGAGAGTGAGAGAGTGAGAGAGTGAGAGAGAGAGGGTGGAGAGAGTGAGAGAGGAGTGAGAGAGTGAGAGAGGTGAGAGAGTGAGAGAGGTGAGAGAGTGACGAGAGTGAGAGAGTGAGAGAGTGAGTGAGTGAGTGAGTGAGTGATGTGAGTGATGTAGATGTAGATGTTAGATGTAGATGTAGATGTAGATGTAGATGTAGATTAGATGTAGATGTAGATGTAGATGTTAGATGTAGATGTAGATTGTAGATGTAGATGTAGATGTAGATGTAGATGTAGATGTAGATGTAGATAGTCGATAGATTATATGATGGATAGATATACAGATAGATATAGATATGGATAGATATACAGATATAGATATAGATACTACATGCTAGATAATAGAATGGATAGATATGGCTATAGAGATGGAGAGAGAGACAGAGACCAGAGAGAGAGATAGACAGAGATAGAGACAGATGGAGGAGACAGAGACAGAGATCAGAAGATAGAGACAGATGGGAGGATGGAGAAGATGGAGAGATGGGAGTGATCGGAGAAGATGTGAGAGAGGGAGAGTAGGGAAGAAGCTCACTCACTCACTCACTCACTCACTCTCTCTCTCTCTCGCACGCTCTCTCGCACGCTCTCTCTCTCTCTCTCTCTCTCTCTCTCTCTCTCTCTCTCTATCTATCTATCTATCTATTTATCTGTCTCTCTCTATATATGTATATCTGTCTGTCTCTCTCTATATATGTATATCTGTCTGTCTCTCTCTCTCCCCTCTCTATCTCTCTCTTTCCCTCTCTTTCCCTCTTTCTCTATCTTTCTTTCCATCCGTGTGCGTGTTATCGTATAATAATACGTACGTATAGCTCCGCACATTACTTGGCATGTTTTAACGGGAGACCAATAGACCCCCAATCGTTACACGACGTTGCCCCGAAAACTTGTTGATTCTTCGTGTCTTCCATCGAGGCAATTGGCACTATAAAAACCAAATTGGATGTACACATATCAAATGTGTTTTTGATATGAACTTACAAATACTATCAAAGGAGTTATCTATTACTCAATCAGGAGCACCATTTTTACAAGACACGGCTAGAGTAGTGACCATTAATTCTGGCCTACATATTTACCATAGCTTGGATTAGGGTTGGCGTTAGGTTAGGAATATCTTAAGGATTGTGGATAGGGTTATTGTTGATGACATATTATACCGCAAATCATCGTAATTTTGTTGTAAACATGCTAAAATTTATAACTTTTTTATCGTTACTGTACTTTCATAAACATTTCGTAAATATCATCAAAGAAAAAAAGGAATGATATGAATTAATTATAAATCATAGTTGCGACAGCAGCTTTAGCTGAGCAAACATTTACGTTAATAATAATCGTAGCTAATAACACTAGTTGCAATTATATTGCGTTCACGTAGTTGTCACAGTTAGAATCTTCCACGAAAAAGAGAGAGAAGATGGCTTCGGCCCACGTGTATATTGAGCGTTACATATCGTCACGGCATGACGAATGTCCAAGGGATTCACTTAAAGAAATAAATATATAGATATGCGGGCTTTATAATTATTTCTCACGCTAGATGGCGGGATGATGTCATATTTGCTTAGATTTTTTACGTTGAACTTATTGGTATATAATAAAATACAATAATATATACAATTAAATAAATACGGGTTTTTAAACAACAACGTGTTAACGTCCGTGATAAGCATGTGTGCTTCTCTCCCCCCTCTCTCTTTTCCTCTCCCCCCTCTTCTCAGTTCTCTCAATTGTCTCTCTCTTCTCGCTCGCTCTCCTCCCTCTCTCATTGTCTCTTTGACTGTCTCCCTTGTGTGTGTGTGTGTGTGTGTGTGTCGTGTGTGTGTGGTGTAGTGGTGTGTGTGTGTGGTGTTTGTGCTGTGTGTGTGTGTGGGTGTGTGTGTGTGTGTGTGTGTGTGTGTGTGTGTGTGTGTGTGTGTTGTGTGTGTGGTTGTGTCTGTGCGTGTGTGTGGTGTGCTGGTGTCGTTTGTTGGTCGTGCGTGCGTTGCGTGCGTGCGTTCGTGCGCGCGTCCCTTTCTCGCTCGCTCTCTCTCTCACACACTCTATCTCTCTTGCTTAGTTTCTATCTCTCGCTCCATCTATCTCCCATCCTCTCCTCTCTGTCTCTCTATCTAGAGCGTGCGGTCGCGCCCCCTCTCTCGCTCTTTCCTCTCTCCCTCTCTCTCTCTCTCTCTCTCTCTCCTCTCTCTCTCTCTCTCTCTAACTCTCCCTCTTTTTCCCTCTCTCTCTCTCTCCCATATCTCTCTCTCTGTGTCCCCCACTTTCTTCTCCCTCCTTCTCTTTCTCGCTCTCCCTATTCTCCATTCCCTCTCTTCCTCTGCTACCACTATTTTCACACTCGCTCTCTCCCCACATCCCATTCTCTCGTTCTCTCCATTTTCTTTCGCTTCGTATCCCTCTTTCTCGCCCTCTTTTCTCTCTCTCTCTCTCTCTCTCTCTCTCTCTCTCTCTCTCTCTCTCTCTCTCTCTCTCTCTCTCTCCCACTGTAATATTATCACCTGGT